ATAGATTTTCCATTGCTTAAACTAAGGGACTTCTATCTCAAAAAATAATTTGTGCGTTAAAGTATGGAAGAGAGGTTGCAACTATATAAATTAGACAAAATAGTGCTGTCAGTCACAGAATTTTGAATTTTAACTAACACTTGAAGATACAACACACCCCCCCAGCTACACAGAGCCCATAACAACACATGGATGGAAATCCATCCATCCATGCGCCATTATTTGAGTTCATTATAAGATGTCGAAAATCTATTTGCAGTCTTTCTCTGTTGACTGCCCTTATCAGAATAATAAAATCAAACTATAAATCCCAAGAGCGCTGGAATACAACCTCTGTCGTCATCTTAAACCAGTTTAATGATAGCCCATTTTAATCCCATCAGCCCTGGCCTTATTTTACTGCATTCTTCATGTTACATGCTGCAAGGCTTTAAGCACTAATTTTCAAATGGATCCTCCATTTTATTGTATCAATTGTACATGAGGATTGGACCACTGAAATAAAAGGAAATATAACAGCACAGAAATACAATTTATGGCAGACTCCAGAGACCTTGTTTTACTCTCTTTGTCTTAATATAACACATTCCCTGGTAGTGAACTATGTACAAATATAACAAACATATTGCACTGACATTCTCCCTTTCTCTTTTTTCTTAATGGAGCTGCAGGGTGAGAGTGAAATAAGTAAATAAGCCTACATACTTATGACCCTACATTTATCTTCCTGGATCTTACAATAGGAAATTCTAAACAAAAGAAAAATCAGCTAACATCAGAGTTCCTTACATTGTTCTTTATTCTACCTTATTAAAGCCTCTGGAAAACAAATCTGCCACATTTCTGGACTTCACAATTTGTCTCTGGTGGAGACCAAATTTCCCACTGCAAAATCCCTGGCTATACCTCACGGTAGCCCTTAAAAACCACAGTTTTCTAATTCACCGTTTTCCTTGCTTTGCATGCAGCTACTTTTTGCTTGTGTAACTACTTCTCTAGCTGGATGGTCTATCTATTGCTAATTTAACCTGTTAAAAAATCGGTGGTTTTGCTATATGCTGCACATGTTTTGGTTGAAGACTGGCAATATTTCAAGCCATAATTTAACTATTCTGTATACTTTATGCTTTTATAATTCTGTACTTTCAAGTCTTCATGACATGTTGTATTGGAGTGATATACTGGTCAACATTTATTTTTATCTAAACAATTTGATATTATTAATTTCATCTATTCCCCCAATATAATTATCCATAAAATATCTCCACATTACCAGAACTGGAAAAGGGGAAAAGGGTTGTTTCCTTTGCAATCTTTTCTCAGCGTTCCAAAAAAACATTTATTTCAACCCTAGGTAATACAAGCGTAATTCTAACAGCATACTGGTATAATGTCTATTTACAGAAATAGTGAGTGTTATTTAGCAAGGAACTGGCATGAATAATTAGGGTTTTACTATTTATATCCACAGTGAAAGAACAGGTAGAAAAAAGGCACAAAATACTGAAAGGCAAAACTTCATCAAAGGTCTTGTTCATGCGGAGTCTTACTAAGTAAATACGATTCCTAGGATGTACCTTTTCTATAGTTTGTTTTGTGAACGAGATGTACACATTAAGAGCTTGAATACATATAAATGTAATAATTAATGTTTGCATTAGCAACAGGTTTAGAATCAGTACTCTAATTTGTGCTCTCACTACAAGATGCTGGCTTAAAAAAAAAGTCCACAAAAATGAACAAAACCATGTCAAAGCACGGTAGTATAAGAGACTGCATCTCCAGCAAATGGCACAGAATAAAAAGTCAGTTATGAAATTATAGCCATTTTAAAGCTCACCCTCCTGTTTTCATAGAAAGTATTATTTTACGTAGTTAAATATGGGCTGCCTGCTGACACTCACGTGCTTCTGCAAATACTACACTTAAAGAATAAGCTACTTACACATTTCAATCAGTGGTAATTAAAAAAAAAATAAATACAGGTTCTAATCAGTGTTTAGTTATGGGCTCTGCCACAGATGGTCCCCTCAGTGCAAGGTGAATTGTTCTGTGAATTTCCTTTGTCAGCACAGGAAAGGGTACTGAAATTTCAGCACATCTGGATCTGGTCCTGTCATTTTTTGCACCGTGAAGAGTCCTCTTTACTCTCAATAGTCTACAGCTACAGGCTGTACGTAAAAGCCCAAAGAAGAGTAAACTGTCTGTACTTAATCACTAGTTACTGCCTCCTTGATTTAACATAGCAAAGCATCTTAAGAAAAGAGTGTTGACTCTTTATCTAATTATTAGCTAGTGAATTGCTGGTTCTAACAGATAGCAAAACACCACTTCACGAAAACCAAGATTTCGGTACTCTTAGTAGGTGGTATCTCTAGAACAACAATCAGCTCTGATGAACCAAGATTGCCTTTTATCACAGAGAAGTCAGACACAGCTAGAAAATCATCATGCTAATGCCTCCTTTTAATATGTACTTTGAGGCATTTTGTCAGGATTCAAAACAACCTTTCTTCACAGCTTAGACTGATCTGAGCTGTGTAACACTCGGGCTCTTGGCACCATCCTCACAACATGCAGTTTGCAGCAGCAGTGCTTATGCAGCCATGAATTATATAATTTCAAAGATGCGATTGAGAGGAAAGCTGTCTTACCCCCCAAAAATGACGAGTCTCCAGCCGAATCATCTCCCTGAGCTGTCTCACTGTGCTGTCTTTACTGAAGAGGACGAGAACAGATGGTGGCAATATGGTAAGAAGCTGCAGTTGCTGTCATCCCACATAGAGTTACCTGTAGAAAGTGCGAGGGAATTTGAGGTAGTTTATCTTCATAGCTACATTAAAGCGTGCAGATCAGATTTACCATGAACTAACTCTGCTGCATGTAAGCATGCTCTCACTTCTACTGGATTGAGATTAAATTTGGATCTCCTACTCCCCAGGACAGTGCCCCAATGACTTGTTGTAGGCAGATCTGCACACTAGGGACATCTGTACTGTGTGGGCACAGACTTTGCTACATCTACTCAGGTTATAAATGTAAAAAACTCTGCCAAAATAAAATAAGCAGTTTAAGACTTAAATTGTATCACTCTTACAATGTTTAATGCTATGATTATCTTACTTCCAAACATATAACCAGTTCCAGTTTTTATAAGTAAGCACAGTTTATGGTAAGCCTCTCATGCTCCTCACCAAAATCCAATATCTATTTGAGAGTTAATACAAATGTCTCTTAAACTGTCAGTTTTTAAGTGATTACAAAACAATCTTTGGACAACTATCATAATGGCCCTGCCAAGAGAAAATTCTTGAAGCATGAAAGATGTTATTAACTAGGCTGGATGTTCTTTGTGGAACGGCCAAAGGTTACTAGAAGTCTATATTTATATACTCAGCAATTTCATCTGACGGTTTGTTGACCAGCCAGTTAGCTAATATTGGTCCCTCCCTACAGAGCTTCACAAGCTCAGGACTGCGTCTTTGATTTTATTATCATTCCAGTCTGTATGCCAGTAAAGATATATTTGTTCCTGGCATACTCATTTCCAGAAAACTTCTGTACCAAATATTATTTTAATTTCTGAGCGCAAAGGTTGCTTTGCCACTGGCAAGTAGCTGCTGCCAGCCTTGATGGGGCTGTTCAACTAAATTTTCATTTAAAACGCATACATCATTTTAATACCCGGGTTTTATAGCTCTAGGTTAAATTTTGCAAAATAAAACCTAAGCTTCATCTTCTAAATAAAAATACTTTTAAATACATCCTTTAGCATTTTTTTTGATGCAACGCCATCTGGATTACACGGTGAAAACCACTAGATGGCACTGAATGAAGGTCTTTTCAAAGACCTGAATCATGTAAAAAATCTTTATTTAAAATATTTAAGTATCCACAGAGTACGACACTAATTAAAAACTATTCGTAGACTTCGTTAATGCAAACCAATTCAAAATTTGCACTATACCAGCATATCAGCCCTCTCTGAAGGGAGTGCAACAGCCGCTGGACACTGTCAGCCTGTCACACCCCTGTCCTGTGGAAAGCAGGTATTTGTGCCACCCAGGTCCACCTGAGCAGCGGTTCCTTCTCCCCAGGAGGCTTAATTGTTCGAACCGCTTGCACCAGAAACTTGTGCCAAGGGAGGAGCAAGAACCAGTGTGATTTTGTTGACATTTAGCACACCGTTTTCATGTCATCTACCTTTTTTTGTCTTTGCCTCCGGTAGGATATGAACGCAGACTTTGAGTGTCCACCGCAGCCGACAGCTGCAACTACTGTTCAGTGTTGTCCAAGGCACAATAGGGAAAAGTATTGTAGGAGGAAGTACTTTCAGTGCTTCACGCTCCTTAGCAGGCTTTTACTTTATCATGTAAGTAAAACTGGGACATTCACCACGCGAGGCCCACCTTGGCACAGCTCCCCGCCCACAGGCCGGCCCAGAAGCGTCGCCAAGCCTTGTGGGCCAGCCGCCCTCACGCCAAGGCCCTGCCTGTGGTGAAACACAGCCGCGGCCTGAGGGAAAGCGGCAAAGCCGCGTACGGCAGCTCCGGCCCCTCAGGCTGCGCCACCACCGCCCGGAGGCGGGAACTCAAACCCCGCCCCCTACCGCGCGCCGCCGCCGCCACCGTCCAAGTGCCCGCCCGCCCTCCTTCCTTCCTTCCTTCCTTCCCTCCCTCCCTCCCTCCCTCCCTCCCTCCCTCCTTCCCATTGGCTACGCCTTTCTCCACGTGATCGCCCAGCCCGCCGCTCAGTGGCAGCGGCGCGGGTAAGGGGGCGGGAGGAATATAAAAAAAAAAAAAAAAAAAAAAAAAAAACACCACACACAAAAAAAAAAACCCAACCACACACAACGCAAACCCGGGAGGGCGGGCGCGGGGTGGTCACTTCCGCTCCTGCGCGCGGCGGGGCTCTGCGGTGGTTACCGGCAACGTGAGGCGGGGAGGGGGGGGGGGGGGGGTGTTCCCGCGCGCGCCCCCGCCGCTCCCGGCTGCACGTGCCCGCGCGCTCCCCGCCGCCGAAGGGGGGGGCGGGGCGAGGCGAGGCAAGCGGGATCCTCAGGAGGAGGCGGCGGCGGCCGACTAGGCCCGGTGCGGGTGTTGCTCCCTCCCCCGCCTCTGGTGGAACGGGCCGGGATGAGTGGCGAGGACGGGAACGAGGAGTTCTACCGGCAGCTGCAGCTCCAGCAGCAGTGCGAGGCCGAGCCCGGCGGTGAGGGCGAGCCCGACCCCTTCACCTACGTGGACCCGGCCGACGGGGCCGCCTACGAGTGGGACCGGGAGAAGAAGGCCTGGTTCCCCAAGGTGGGTGCGGGGGGCGGCTCGGTGCCGCCGTCCCCCTTACCGGTTGCGCGGAGCCGCGGGGGCCTCGCGGGGTGCTTCCGCCGCCCTGGGGCAGCTCTCCCCCCGTGGCGTGGCGAAGTTTCCCCGGGGAAAGGGGCTGAGGGTGAGGAACGGTTGATGTTGGGCCTTCTCAGCACGGACGCGCCTCGCCTGTCTGGGTTCAGCCCAACAGACGGCTGCTGCGAAGTCTGTAGCACTAAGCCGCTCTTTTTTCCAGGGAAAACCACGGCAGCTGGCGCTGGCTCCACCTGTAACCTCACCGGCTGCTCTCTGCTCTTTTGCCGAGAAGAGATATAGGTTGGCTTTTCTCCTTGGCTGCGATTCTGTAGAATTGCTCGGGCCTGGTGTGAAGTCACAGTTATATTTGTGGATCTTAACGAATCGGAGCTGGCTTTGACATGTTTGGGTGTCTTTATCGCAGTAGCTGTGGTGATCTTGTGTCCTTATGTTGGCAGTGAACTAGTCTGTTAAGAGGTCTAGGTAAAAATGGAGTAATAGATCTCTCTTTTATCATTGTCTGAAAATGATGCATGTGCAAAGCTGTCTTGTTCCCTCGCCTTAGATTTTGGAAGTGCACTTGAAAATTAAGTGTATTTGTCTTGGGGGCATTCCACAGAATGTAAACGTTACAGTTTTTAATCTTTTTTTTCTTTTATTATTAAATATTTCAAGTATAAAAAATGAACTTGCAGTAACAACGTGGCTCTTCAAGGTGAGAGGGGGTGTAGATTGAATGTGTTGAGCCAACATATACTGATCTGCAGGTGAAATAGCACTTTTTTTACTATGTAACAGCAAATAAGGGCAATTACTTAAGTTAGAAATATTAAAACATTTTCTAGCATATAGTTGGTAATTGTAACGTGCCAGTTCTTATTTGTGACTCTGAATTCATCACAATTTAGAGAATCTGAGTGAGAATGAAGCCTGTAGCGCCAAGTTTCTATGTGTGTAAACCTAGTAAGGTGTCTGTGTAGCAGATGGCTTACAGAGGGGTAAAAACACGTGAAAAATCCAGACTCACAAAGTAGAGCAGTGGAGGACTGAGTATCCCTGGCTCCCTGTGGAGTTCTGTATCCAGTAAGCACAGTAACTTTTAAAGGGGCTCTTCTTTATTTCCCCTGTTCCTTCTCTTCTTTCTCAGCTCTTTTTTAAATTTATCTATTTTTCTCAGGAGCACGGGTCTTTCCTAAATGCCTTTCTGATCTCAAATTTCCATCTTGGAGATGAGATAACGCTAAGAGTTGGACAGATTATATAGGAACAGCAAAGCTCATTAGTAAATACGATGTATAGTAGAAGTTGGTAAAGAATCATTGTGAAGGACTATATGTTACAGATAGGCCACTGAGCAAGATATCATAGTATCTCAGGTTACTTTATTTTGCTGATGATTATTCGAGTGTTTTATCAAATTGGATTTAAGAGACTGCAGGAGCCAGAAGTTGTAATTATTTCTCCATGAACAGTAATAAAATTCCTTATCTCTCTTCTCTGACAAAATATTAAAATATTCTGACTAGTCTATGTAATCATCATCTACAGACTAGTATTGCACTGCTACTCGACGTTGGGAATAGAGTATCTGTTGAACTTCTGCTAAAGCATATTTCAAAGCAGTGCAAAAAGTTGGTATTAACTGTCAACACTCGTCAGAAATATTGAGAGACAGTCAAGTATTTAATAAAAGTGGTTGCAACTTTGTGTGTTGCTTAATGATTTTTATTTCAATGGTACTGTATTGATGGATACAGACTTTATAGTCCTTCACAGAGCACAAAATTGCATGTTGAATTTATTTGCCTTCCCTTATCACTTGCTATGAAAAAGCAGACGTTGGATGTCTTCTGTAAGTGTAGGGTATCTGTTCTTCATTTGGTTAATCTATTCCTTTCCATTTCAGTGTGACCAGTAGTTAATTACATGCTAGCATGTCCTGTAGTATTGTATTTCTTTTCCTATAAGCTTAATTGCCCCAAACCGTTCAACCGTGTGGGTATGGAGATAGAACTGATCTCTTTCTGTGATGTTCTCCACCAGAACTGGATTGAAGCCCCAAGTAAGAAATTCTGTGAGCTCTTGTTTTTCATGCAGGCATGGTATAAGTTCCAGTAAAAGCCTTTATACTTGTATAAATTCCTTTGTTTGCAAAAAAGTGTTTTTAATTGAAGTAGTTGTAATGGTATATATAGTAGGATGATAGCGTAATATGGAGAAAAAGTCTATGTTATTGACTGGCAAAATTTGACAGTCCATAGTAGGTAACTTGCTAAGAATAAATTCAGCTTTACCTGAGGATGCAGTTCCCCCTGAAGCTGAAAAATAGTACTCCTGCAGGAAGGTAGGTAGTTGTTGCAGGTTGAATCACTAATGTATCAGTAGGTTCTCTGTTGAAAATGAATAATACTGTTTACCAGAAAGTTTAAAAGCTTCTGAAATCTCTGGGTTTCATCAACTGTGAAACTAAGGACTTGCTAAGCTTGCTAGCATCAAATATAATGAACCTGATTAGAGCAGAGTCTTCTTTTCTTTGCCAAAGGTGGTTGTACACTTCCTTTCTCTCGACGTTGTATTGTGTCATTGTCTGTAAGAGCAGCCACTTCCATTCCCGATTGAGATGTTGCAGATCTTGTTTAGTGTAGGAGCTATTTCATGATAAAGTTATATGGGGCTCCACAGCTACTTGAGTGATGCAAATATCATGATACTGTCAATTCTGCATTTTTGATTTGTCATAATAAAAGCTTAGAGTTGAAACATCAAGCTTCAAGTGACTGTGGAAGATATGAGATTGCATTGTTTTCATTGACACTATTGTACATTGTGCAGCTCTCTTAGAATAGCTTAATGACATTAAGTTTTGTTGCCTTTTGAATAGAGATGAAGCAAGTGCAGCACAGATCAGAGACAAATAAAATTGTCAAAGGTTAAGGCTCAGCTTTGGGAATAAATCATTTCAGAGTGTGTAGCTTCAGAAAATAATTCATAGTGCAGTGATGCTAGCAAAATCAGCTATGATGTAGTATCTCTTTGCACGTTATTGCTAGTGGCTAGTATTAAAATTTACCTGGCTGGAAATACTGGGTGTAATTTGTAGGATTTTTTTTGTTTGGTCTCCAAAAGCTCTTATATTTTATCCAAATACGGTCTCTCTCTAGAAAAGAGCAAGCTAGTTATTTATTACTAGGATATAGAGTAGAGTGTGCAGCCTTATAAACAGTGTGTTAAGATACATCTTTAAGTGCGATATTTATTGTCTACCAACACAAATATATGTCATCTCTGAAAAAGGTTCTGTGAAAAGGCAGATGCCTATGAACAGTCATTCATCATCCACGGAGAAGTTGTTGGCTTACCTTCAGTGTCACTTTATTTGTTCAACATGGTCAGGAGCGCTTGGTTTCTGTTCTTCAGGCAAATCCAATGTGGAAAGAAGAAAGTCAGAACATGTGAAATGTTTATTTAAAAACTTCATGTGCTATATGGAATTAGTATGTTAGTCTAGTTCAAGTAATGCCTGAACTGATTGTTCTTGTTACGTGTATGGCTTTACAAAGATGTTTTAAAACAAGTTTTTAAATACTGTTGTTTTCTCTGTTGTCGGATTAGAAAATGACAATCATCTAACTAACACTAAAACACTTACAAACCTGAATTTGTAGTTCTTCAAAATTTTAGAGTAAATTTCCTCATTTATTTTCAGATAACAGAAGATTTCCTGGCAACATACCATGCCAACTATGGCTTCCATGCAGATGATACAGACAGTTCATCTGCTTCTGGCACAGCAACTGAAACTAAGCAACCAGTAAGTTCGAAGACATCAGGAACACAACCATCAGCAAACGAGAAAAGACCACAACAAACAGATCCAAAACAAAAAGGGGAAAAACGGAAGCTTGAGCCAGGTAAGCAACAAAGGATTTCCCTCTGTGTAGGCTGCAGCCTGTATAGCACTGGGTGGAAACTGGCAATTGTTCAGTGTTGCCAGGTACAGCAAAGATATGCGTTCTGAATATTTCCAGAATTGTTTTAAAATTCTGTGGTACTTCGTAGGTATTTTCCTAAGGCCATATAAAAGGTGGAAAAAAAAGCAAATAAAGTCATGTTCAGAGCTCTTCCTGTGAGCAGGCAGAAAATCTTAGAAGTCTGATGGAATGTGAACATTAGTGTATGCTCCCATGTTTAATATATTGGCATAACTGAATTAGAACTCTTGTTTTTAGGATGGTTTCACGTTGAAGAAGACAGAAACACAAATGTTTATGTGACTGGTAAGTAGTAGCGCTTTATTTATCTACTTTCAGCTAAAGATGGTAAAGGAGACTCAAATATGTCTCACTTCTACTGTTATCTGTTCAGTCATTCACTTGCCAGCTACTTAATGTCATGTTCCTGATTGCCTAATGTCTTTGTGACCTTTTAATTGCAGATGTGGGAAAGTAATTTAAGGGACATATTCCATGCTTCTGTCTTTTAAGTGTGATATTCTGTGAGCTGTGTCAGCCAAGTCACTATTTTTTTTTTTAAGCAAGCTACAGCCAAGAAAGGCAATTTCTGTGAGCTCCTAAGGAATAGGATAATGAGAACGAGTTTATAATAAGATAGTGCATCGACTATACACATCACTTGGTATTTTCATTTTTATTTGATTTTATAAATACATAATTAAATTATGAGATAAGGAGGAAACTCTACAAAAAAAAAGCTGGCAATAGAATGAGCAAGTAGTGGGGAAAGTCAAATGAAACTATTATGGTATTACTCTCCCTGTTTTGGATGCTGGGGTGCTGTCTTTAGGTGTGTACGTAAAAGTACATTTGGTGGTTCTGAGCAGTCACAGAAATACACACACTTGAATTCTCAAAAATCATCTGGACTGAACTACCATGGAACATTCACATAATGTTCTCCTCCATATTTTTTTTTTTCCTTGTCCTCAAGTCAAAGTTCAGACTTCAAAAACTCCATACACTATCATCTGATTTTTTTGTTGAATTTGCAGGTGGAGAAAATAGTCACCTATTTATAGATTGGGTTTTCCTTTTTTGTCTCTGATCCCCAGAGGTGCTGTAGACCTTTAAAACTCGAACAGGATAGTTACATTCACATAGGCCATTGTGTCCACTGCAGTGTCGGCATCATGTATAGCACTAAAGCTCTAGGTCTGCATATTAGGGAGCACAGATACGGTGCTGTATGTTACACCTATTAAAAAGTAAAAGGATTTTCAAAATATTGCTATAAAGTAATGTTTAAAAGGTAATGGCAAAAATACTGGTCCCAAGGCCAGAGGTTTCTTACGGTGTATGTAAAATTTCATCTTTCAGTTTGATACCTTTCATGTAAAGAAACACTGTGGGGTTTTTGTTCTAATTAGGTTTTTCTAAAAAGGAAAACATAGTCAAGGCTTCTGTTTGTAATTTATTTTGCAGGTTTACCTCCAGACATTACGAAAGATGAATTTATCCAAGTCATGTCAAAATGTGGTATCATTATGCGAGATCCACAGACAGAAGAACACAAAATCAAGCTGTACAAAGATAAGGAAGGAAATCTTAAAGGAGATGGTCTCTGTTGCTATCTAAAGGTCAGCGGTGCACTGAAATGCAGTTTTCCTTCCCATTGAAGATACTTGTAGCCACTGTTTAAGAATAATAGTCAAGAGATTCTTGAAATACCTGAAGTATAACTTAGAATGTAGTTGTCTGTTTTAAAGATGAAAATGCCAACTTCTCTGCTTGTGTACCTCATTCATTTCCTCTTATCCACCCCTACCCTCCCCCTGAAAATGTCCATAATACCTGCTGAGCTTGTCTCTACATGTTTGTCTTGGGTGCCAGTGATTATGGACTGAAATGGGGGACCTCTTCACCTTTGAAAATATGCTGCTGTGTGGCCAAGAATACAAAAATGAGACAGGAAGGAAGATACTGTAGTCCTGTATTTACAGCTTTTAATTGAGAACTGGTTAGGTTCAGAACTGTACTCGCATTCTGTACTAACTTATAAAATTTTAGGTTGAAGTACTGTTTCCTTCATGTGTTTCTTTTGTGAAACATTTGGAAAGTTAGTGCTTGCAAGTGCAGTCTGCTTTAATTTCTCAAGAAGCACCAGGCAGTACTAAATCAACTAGTCTATGCAATTTTTGTAATTTTAGCAGTTAGGGCTGTTTAGTGAGCAAGTCTAAAGACAGTGTCCGCCTGAAAGGACTTTTAGGAAAATGTTAAAAATTACTTAAGAGCCTCAGTATTTGTTGTTCTTGGAAAAGTGATACAAGCTTTGTAGGGAATCAGGCCCCTGACATTTTTTTATTCTTAAGTTCATTGGTTTGCTTGATCGTTGCAGATTGCTTTTTATGACATATATGAATGAAATACATGCAGTTTCTTTTGGGAGCATTAATCTGCTATAACAGTGGTAAAGGAGTGCTGGGTTTTGTTTAAAACATTGCCAGCTGTGTCTCAAGGGACTTGGAAAAGATACGGCATTGTGGTTTTCAGTGTCAGGGAATTGATTCTTAGCCCAATATTCTTAATTAAAATTATTGGAATAATTTGATTGTGCCATGTGCTTTAAAGCTTATGCTCTGTTTTATCTTTAAATAGAGAGAATCAGTTCAACTTGCATTGAGACTTCTGGATGAGGCAGAAATTCGAGGCTATAAATTGCATGTTGAAGTTGCAAAGTTTCAACTGAAGGGGGAGTATGATGCAAGCAAAAAGAAGAAGAAATGTAAAGACTACAAGAAGAAGTTGTCTCAACAGCAGAAGTTTGTATTTTTTATTTCAGTAAAATATTGCTTGAATTCTAAGTGCTGTTAGTAAGGCACTGCTTTCTTTCAAATGCAATGCTAAGAGTTATGCAAAAATTGAAGTCTTATCTGACAGTGAAATAGCTTAAATACAGATTTGGAGGGGAGGAACTCTTAAATTGACATAATGAACTTCATGATTGACACATTAAAATATTATATAGGGATCCATGGTCCTTTCAGATATAGAAGAATATATTACAACTCTGGGGAGATAAAGGACTTTTTTTCTCAGTGTGTGAGAGCATGCCAGTCCCGTTGTGATATCTAGGCTTTCTTCTATAAGGTAATAATGTTGGCTGTCCATGTATTGCTTGTACCATACTTTACTAGTTGCAAAGGATAAGGGATGCTAGCTTCTGTAGGAGCAAATGCTGAAATATCTCTGTAGATTCTCCCAGACATATCTCTCTGATGTTTTTTTTTTGTTTTGTTTTGTTTTTTTTTAATACTGATTTTTAATTGTACCTAGATCCGTTGCTTTTGTCACTTAAAAATTCTTTTTCTGCCTTTTGGTACCAAGGAGATGCGGATTAAAGAAGAAAGAAGTTTGAGTATATAGGACTATTAATATTTTAATGAAAGCAGCATTTGACTAAACATCTTAAATAGTTAATGAAGAAGTGTTTTGCCACAGTTAAAGGAAGCAAAGGCTACTTGATATTTTATCAGTTAAAAATAAAAATAGCCTGAAATATATCTGCCTTAAAGATACATTGCCAGTTCTTGCTGTAAGAAGCTTCCAGTGTGGAGAGAGAACTATGAAAATAATGAAATTGCATTTGACAGTGATTTGTGTGAATAAACTGTCTTCAGCTGGTGTTCCTTTTGAGTTGAAGAGCTTAATTTATTTGCAAAACTACCTTCATTGGAAATCCTTCTTGTACCTGTTACTTTAGCTTAAGACAACTTGGAACTTAGACAAGATTCCCTCCCCCCCACTATAAGATTTTGAGAGTTAAGTGTAAATGAATGTGTCCTTTTTTTGTAATAGGATATGAAGTAGGTGTTTCTACGAGAAGTAACATGTAATGTTTTTCACGAGAAGGCAGAGGCATAGAACAGATGCCCTGAGTTACGTTGCTAGTTTGTGGCAGTGGCTCTGTACACTGTGGAACAAAATATATCTTGCAGCGATGCCTCTGTAAGACTCAAGGTGTTCTTTCATGCTTGTTTAAAATAAGTTAAATTTTACCAAAGGGGGAATAGTGGATCTCATTTTTTACAAAATAAGTTAGGAAGAATAGCAAATAGTAAAATACTGACATTTTTATTATACTTGGCAGCAGCTGGTTCCTATATCTCAGCAGATACTAGGAAGGAATGAAAACTTAGATTACTTTTTTCACTAAGAAAATGCTTTGATTATAATAAATAATTTATATTCCCTCTGTGATATTTAAGTACCTTAAATCCTCAACTGCTTTGTAGAAGAAGTGGTAAAACAGGGTGATTATTGCATTTTTTTAGAAGAATAACATAACTGTGTCAAAATACATGTTTTAGTTGATGTATTACAGGAAATGCCAAATTAATGATTTTTTTTCAACAAATACTTGTAGAAACTGAAGAGAGCCGCAACAATATCTTCTTACTGTTGCTTCATTTCATTAGACAGCTGGATTGGAGGCCTGAGAAGAAAGATGGTGCAACTCGAATGCGACATGAACGCATCGTTATTATCAGGAATATGTTTCACCCAAAGGACTTTGAGGTAGGAAGATGCAGTTTGCTACTGTAGCTTGTGCTGTTTTCGTTAACATGGTGTGAACTTTCTGTCATAAGAACCTTAGCAAAATTCTAAGCAGGTGAGAAGACAATTAAACTTACTGTTTGGCAGGGTTGTTTTTCTGCACTAAGCATCTGCTTAAAATTCATTCATCTACTTCCAAAAAGCAAGAAGAAGATGTTAAGAAGAATGTATTTTTCAAGTTGGCCCTTGTCACTGTGTGTATCCTGACTTTCCCTTTTTGGATGGAAAGAGGAGTAAACAGTAACTATGTTAGAATGGAGAAGCAAACACAAAATAGCCTTATTAATAAGTAGCATTTATTACATTCAAACAAGGGCTGACTGCCAGCTCCCAAGTGGCTTTGAGAATGCAGAATAACAACACTTAATTTATGAACTTTTAATAGATTGGCAGATGTGTTCCAGTGATGATTGAGCAAGAATAAAGCTGAGAGAAGTAAATGCCTCTGTTTAATTACACCTGTGTGATTGCATTGCAGGAGGATCCCTTGGTGCTAAATGAGATCAGAGAAGATCTGCGGACAGAGTGTGAAAAGTTCGGTCAAGTAAAGAAGGTTCTCATATTCGATGTAGGTATTTTTTTACATGTTATGTTGGCAGAATTGACGTAATGTGCAAATGTGCAAAACATACAGGGTTCTTTAAATAGGAGTGGAGCATTGTATTTGGGTTTGTGTGTTTATTTTGTGGAAACGTGACCTAATATTTGAGTATTTTAAAATTAACTGTTTTGGAAATTAATTTCTAAGCACCTGTCTACTTCAGCCTGTGGGAAGGCAAGCTGTAACTTCCTGGTGACTCAGATACATGTCACTAGTTTGAAAGCGTGTAAATACATTTATTTGTAGCTAAACTAGCTGAAACGTTTGTTTTCTGTGTTCAAAAAGTCTGTTCAGTGTATCAGTAGAACAAAACGTGCAAACTTGCAAATAGAATTTTTCAAACATGATTAGGTGTGATCGGGATGAACCTATATCCTAATTGATTTTGTAACATAATCTAAAAGATGTTGTAATAAATACACTATTTAGAAAACTGTGAAATGAAAGTTGTCTCTCCTTACAGCGACACCCTGATGGCGTGGCTTCTGTGTCATTTAAAGAAGCAACAGAAGCTGATCTGTGCAAGCTAACTCTAAATGGAAGGTGGTTTGGTGGCCGTCAGCTCAGTGCTGAAACATGGGATGGTGTAACAGATTATCAGGTAGCCTTTTGTGGTCCTACTTTATCAAATATTTATTCCAAACTGTAAATCTGTTTTAATTTTAGAAGCATTTCGTGTCCCCATCCCCATACCCTTCCCCTGCCCACCCCCTCCCAGCCTTGTCTTGTTTCTCTTCAAAAACTACTAGGACATCCCCAAAAAAATCATCCTTCATCCATTCAGTTTAGTAAAAAATTTAAAGGACCTGTTTGATGTTAAAAAGTGTGTTTTGGAAATGTCAACTTGGAGGATTAGCCAGTGGATGTACAGAGCACTAGTTCAGAGTCAACAGGGCCTGTTGGAATACTTGAGAAATTACTGCAGTATAAATGCTTGTATAATTTTATCAGTGTAAATATTCATTTTTTTACAAGTATGACTTTGTAATGATGTATATAAACATATCTTTAATAGGTGGAGGAAACTGCAAGAGAAAGGGAAGAAAGGCTGAAGGTGTGGGGATCGTTTTTAGAGGATCCTGATACAAAGGAGCAGCAAACTACATCTGATTCAGATTCCGCATCAAGTAGCGTTAAACTGCCTGAAGGCAGACAACCTTCAAAAGCGAATGACACATCTAAGGAGGATGTAAATGATGAAGCCCATAAGAGGGAGAATAATGGTGAGGGCATTAATGAAGATGGTGCTCCATCTACAGACAGCAGCCTTGCAGGCAGTGATGTTGAAGCAGATACATAACATCTTTAATGCTTTATGAAAGCATGTTTTTTAGGGTGATGTTTGAGTTTATCCCTATCTTCAGGGTGACTGCAGACAATATTCATATGAATATATGCATATTTAGAATGTCATCAACTGTGTGCTTTGAAGTTTTCATTAAAAGCAGTATTTATTGAGGTTCTAAAAGTTTGTATTAATTGGCTGTTCAGGTAAAGTAACTCAAGTTGCCAAGAATGCAGTAAAACTCATCAGGCTTCTTTTGTTCTATGCTTGTCGGTGTTTCACTGTGTAAGTGTGAAATATGTTCCCACCCTTAAGTTTATGTAACTATATGTAACTTCAGTAATACAAAGCTATTACAAGATTTGTGGATTTTACTGTTAATTTTCCTGTACCCCTTGGAACTTGGTGTCTCATCCTTATAACTGATTCTTGTCCTGAGTACATTGGATCACTTTACGAAACAGATGCTGTGATATGTGTAGGGTGAATGCATTGGATACGTTGCTGTGCATTAAGTAGCAGATGATAAGAATAGTACCAAGTTGCAGACTTAAAGGAAATGGAAAACAAACAACGTTGCCACAGCCAATGTAAGGCAAACTGAGTGAAGATGGATTATTAGATCACAGCGTTCAGTAAATTATTTGTTTCTTCCCCTGTTCAGATCTTCTTTTGATGCTTAGATCTTCTGTTGAGGCTGGAATTACGTCAAGGAGACTAGAAATGCTTGAGCACACACATTCTTAGACCATAATAAGACTGATCTTAAACTCTCATGGTCAGTATGCAGTAGGTATGCAAAACAGGCTTTTGATTGATGTGTTGGCTTTGTTTAGTTTTTGCTTTAATATTAGAGTAGAAGTTTTCGTTTAACTTTGTTAGAATGATGAGTGTGAGTTCTCTTCAACATTTTAGTTTAGCCATACGTGCTCTTCAAAGTGCGGAAGATCTCCCGTATTTCATAAAATCTAAAGGCTTTTGGCAACTTGAAGTACATTTGTTGGGCAAAAGTTTAGGATATTTGTAAGTATGCTTTCAAATAATATTCTTTTATATGGAAAAAGCAAATGCTAGCCCTCTTATAAATATTTCCAAAATCAAGGATTTAGAAGACGTTCTAACTTTAGATATCTTAATAAGTGGCAGGCTTTCAAAAATAACTTTGGGGGACCTGTTTTGGGCGTAGTCATTCTCAATTTAGAATCCCATTCTTTTGGTACCTAAAGATAGAAGAATATGGATTTAGGCACTAAACAGTTAAAATATTGGTGCTAAATTCATAGCATGCTGTTCATATGGGTAGTTACTAGTGCACGTTTGTAAGGAGGTTCTTTTGCATTTTTTTAATTCATACTGGATTGCAAGAAACCATAGATGCTAATTCTTGTATTTCCATCCCAAATTGATCAGAATACTCTGGAAATCGGTATTTTCAAACTTTGCGCTCCGAGATTGCCATCTGTATTGTTTCCAGAAGTCTGTATGGTACTCTTAAGTTTGTGGTTTTTTTATTTTGGGGTTTTTTTTTTTACAATTGATATGTATGGGGTATGCCAACCAGAGCATTTAGGCTAACACTTGCCACTGTGGATATAAGTTGTATCTTTTTGTGACAAAATATACAAGAGAGATGATATTTGAATTCAGGGTTTAAAAGTGTGGGGGCTCATTATAAACTAGCATGACAAATTTCCAATTTTGAGTTGCATTATAGAGAAGAGCTGTAACTCTTGCCAGCTAAGAAAGACCGTTTTCTCATCTCTACAGGAGTGTGAATTGTACTTTTCAGCAAAACAGGTGTTTGAACAATTCAGGGAATCTGAAATACTGCCTGGTTTGTAGCTGCACGTAGTGGCATATTCAGATTATATCTCTGGGTTGTGTTGGGTCTGCCTTAGTTATTTTTATTGGCAACAAGCAGCACAGACCTTTTGAGGACTGGAAGTTTTTGCATATGAAGAGTATAATTTAGTGCGGTGGGTATTGCTTTCAGTGCTCCTTTTTTTTTTCTTCCAGCTTCTAGACTCCAGGCTTAGATCTATCTGTTAACTATTGTGTTTTGTTAGCTCCTTTTTTTTTTTTTTAAGAGCCTAGTCGTGTAACACTCTACACAGTTAAATCACCTATTTTACAGTGGAATTGCAACTGATATAGGGAAACTGTTGACATGTATAAATATTGTACAGTTCAATGAAGCCTTATCATGGTATCAGATACAAAAAATAAGGTTAGTGTTAGTGTTTGAAAAAAGACTTTGAAAAATAAAGAATCATTATATGTGCAGTAACTTTCCTCTCTCCAATTGATGTACAAATTTGATTGGCTTGCTTGAAAAGTCAAACATGATATTAGTCTTTTCACCTTTTCCTCTAGACTTCACACTGAAGTAGAGCACCAACAAAGACTGAGACCAAATGCTTTCCTGGCTTTCCTATTAACTAGGATTCTTAAGAAAATAAAAGCTGTTTTTCCATGAAAATACATTGTTCTGAAGTGCGGCATTACACTCAAACTGGTATTTTCCTTCTGTCTACCTCTATTACTCCCCAGTAAAATGTAAAAATATATTTTTATAAACTATTCATTGCGTTATTAAGGCATTTAATAATCTATGGAGAGGTTAATGCAGCTGTGACTTTCTTTTCAGCAGATTTTCATTGAGACCGAATTCTTTTGATGTTTTCCTTTTTTAAATGATGCAAATTTTTATAAATCTGAACATCAATTAAAATTTTTCACAAAAGTTAAAATTACTATTTTGAAGTATGATTATTAAAATCTCGTAGTAGAGAGCATTAGTGCTTAATACCAAATTTTAACAAATCTGAAGCAAAACAAGCTGAGTTGCTTTTTAACTTAGAATTTTTTCTGACTGAGCATCACCATAAATAAATTGGTAAGAAGTTAACAGCCCAATGCAATTTTCACTATATTTATTCTTTAATTAAAAGTGCTTTCTAATGACTTGTCTTGCTCACTAGAAGTGACAAAATCAAAGGTTTTTGCTCAGTTTCTAATTTTTCCGAGGTTCCATTCCAGCGTTGCAGGATACTGCGTGTTCCTTCATCCGTAGGCTCTGGGTGCGAGGTTCATTCTAAGAAAAGCAGTCGTCTTCCTTCTATATTATGGAAACAACTAGCAGCAGATTGAAACAATTTGTGGATCATTGTTGCTCAGTTTTGAACTAGACAAATAGCTGTTTCTGCTAATTCGCACAGTGTGACAAAATGGATGTGAAACCACTTAAATGTAGCGGCAGGGAAAGAGTATTAACTAACTGGTACTTCGGCACAATTCGGCACGGATAATCACCTTCTTAACCATGCAGCACAAAGTCAGTTGCCTAGCGTCAAGATACCTTGGTAGTTTGCTTTACAATCAAATGCTATTTCGTGGTTTGCTGGCAAGGTAATTGCATGGAGTCACGAGTATTCATCAGAGATTACATGATTTGAGGGGCATGGCCATGGTAGACATCTGGAAACAAAACGCCCCCAAAGAAAAGGCACGTAAGTTGTAGCAGGTTCTCGGACGTTCATATACAGCTGTAAAGAGAGAATTAGTTTCATTTTGCATCAAAATGTTTATCTGTTTCTCCTGCTGACTTTTTTTAATGACTTTTTTTATTAATTGAATTTCAGTCCCTCGTACAACTTACATTTTGTATAAGGATTGCAATTCACTTAAAATCATTAGTATGTTAAATGCAGTGCATTTTAGCTAAAACATGTCCTAGACATTATTCAGTTAAGGTTAATCTATTTACAATTGCGAATACTTCGCTTAATTCACTTAAGAAAACTTAAAGGTATTGGATGCTTCATAGAAACTCAAACTTGCCTATAAATTTTCCAGTAAAATTGATATCCATAACCTGAATTCTTGACCTGTATAACATAATCAAATTCTTTAAAAATAAAACCCAACATACCTATAGATGTTAATTAGATTTTAAATTATTATTTTTCTGAATTTGAGGAAACATACTGCAGTATGGTAAATGAATTATGTAAGTTGTGTACTTGTGTTGATTTGACTTGTGTGTATTTTAGTGCTTACTATACAAGGCTTAAAGTCTCACTGTCAGGATACTCTGGAAGTTCTGTAAAATATTTATAGAATTATGAAATCTTTTCCAGCAAATTGTTTTTTGCTCATTCTATAATATGAAAGTATATTGTTAGATTAAACTTTTCAGTAAGTTGACTTGGAATTTTTCTGACAGGTTATTTTCTTTCGGTAGGTTAAATAGATCATTCGCATTTATCCTTTAGAAAACCAACATTTAAAAAAAAAAAATCATTTGAATAATATCTAGACCTGTGACAGCATCTGAGAATCCCTTGATTTGTCTTCAATTTTGTTTCTTAAAGGGGTTGTGTTTTATACTACCTTTTTAATAAACAAACTCATGAACAAAACAAGTCTTTTCTGATTAGTTTTGGGATAATGTATTTGTCTTGCTTTTTTCCTCAGTAAAAGATACGGTAGCGTTTGGTGCCCAGTGGCTGCAGTTCAAAAAACCTATGTGTTACCATGCCAGAGCTTTCCAACTGGAGGCCAGTAGGCATGTGGCTGGAACTGTAAGTGTTGTTGCAGTGGGACACGGTATTTGTTCCCTCTGTGGGTTTTGTCTCAGACTTCATTCTGGCTTGGTGCGTTAAAGGACCCTGCAGAACACGGAGGAGCAGGAGGAATGGCTGCAGGCACCGTAGTTACGACTGAGAGCATGTGGGAAGGAGTTGGTTGGTAAGGACAAGTAGAATTTCAATTTTTATTGTCAGAAATAAAGATTTTTTTTTTTTTAATTTCTATTTGCTGGGGGGGTTTTTTGAGTTCAAAACACTTTGAATGTTTAAAAAGCGCTGGAAATCCGTTGTTTCAATTCATAAACTACAAAGGAATAGGTATGATAATCCCATTTTTATCCAGTAGTTCTTTGGGGTGTTCACCTAGGAGCTTTAAACCGATGCCATCTAACAACCTCACAACGCTTTAGCTGCCAGCCTTGGAGGAAATTCTTGTATGAGGTCTTGAAAAGCTTTAGCAGGAGAAATCCCCGCTCTATGAAAGTTTAGAAAAGAGGATCAAAGAATGGATGCTTGAGAGATATTGAGGGCGCTTGCCCTGCTGATAGACTGGAATCCGGTCTGTCTCACAATGAAAATGTGTTTATGCACAGAGTGTGTCAATAAAAGACTAAGCAGTGTCCCAGGAAATATGACAGGCTGGTAGTTAAGTTGTTCTGGGAGATGGCAGAGGGCGGGTTCATACGTATTTAGGCAGAGGGAATTGGATTGTGCTCTCCTACTTTCTGGGTGAGTAAACAAACTAGAGCTGCTGTATAAAAGATACAACGTCACCGGTTTGGTGACAAGTTCCCCAGTGTATTTTTCCAGCTGAGACTGGTGAATTTTACCATGATAAAGCATTTCTGGAATGGCTGCAATTTGGTAATTTTAGTAAATTTACTAAAAAAAAAAAAAAAACCAAACTAAAACCTAACTACCTCCAGCACAAGAATGAAATTTTTATTTTCTGAAGATTTCTGTAGTCACTTAAACAGATCCAGCGAGGAAGAGAGAAAAAATTGGTTATCCAGCTTATCTGGGACAGAGACATGATCTTCTTGCAGATGTTTGTAGTTGCAGACTTAATGCTGAATATGCTGTAACCCGGCATAGGAAAGTTCTTTCTGACCCTGGCCAGGTTTGGTTCTCTGCCATAACTTGTTTATCACCTTACCTTAAACTCTTCTGAAGTCCAGACAGACACTGTCTTCTTTATTGTGTACACATTGTCATGAAAAAACCCCCTACTTAGAATCCTCTTTTCCTCATTCCTGAAACCTCCTAACCTGGTTGACTTGTCGGAGTGCATTTCATGCATTCTTAGCAGATAGGCTGAAGGAAACGCCTAGTGCCTCCTTCGCTGGCAGCTAGAGGCTAGAAAGCGTGTAGGGAGTTCATGAACGCTGCTTGTCTCCTCCTGCAGTCACTGCAGAGGGCACGCAGCCTGCCGGGGCAAGGATCCCAAACTGCTGGACGCAGCATGACCGTCCCACAGCTGGAAAATCTCACCGGTGTGACACCGCTCGTGACAGTGAGTTAAGGTAGGAGAATTCAACGGTAATTTCAGTGTATGCTCACTGGCTTTCTCAGATGTTCCCTTACTTGAAGGATACTCGATGAAAGAGAATGTCTGCTTGTTAAATTATTGCTTAATACTTAGGAAGTGGAAATTTATTTTTAAAACTGGTTTGGGCCGCGTGGAGTAGAGAACAGAGTTCCCTGTCTGATGCTACAGTGATAGGAAATTAATACTAATAAGGGTGGGGAATGTGAAAAATAAAGTATTGTCACCGGTGGTGAGCGAGCAGTCAACAACTGTGTCTCAAGCCTGTGTTGACCATGCATCCTCGTCCACCTGAAGGACAATTACTTGACCTATTTTGCCATAATTAACCTGTTCGGAGAGAAGTGTGAGGCAAGCTGAGTCCATTTCATCCCGAGTTCCACTTCTATATTTTGACAACAGTTTGTGGCAGACACAAATCGGAAGGATTTCTGCCTTTTTTTGCAGACTTCCTGCTGGAGACGGAAGAATGAGAAGTTCAGGTAATGAAGACCAAAGTGCTCCAAATCTAGGTCCTGACTCTTGGGACATTAGATTCCTCATGTGTATATGATTCACTGCGAGGACTGAAGTATAACCTAGGTTATAACTAGCCTTCTTATGACTACCTGTTGGAAAGCACAAAAGGTTTTTAGGAGAAATAGAAGTGACCATTCTTTCTTTTAAAAAATATATTATTTTTCTAGCATTGCAACTACTGTGGTCACAGTTCATACAAGCGTAACAGCTGCTACACACCAATAAATGGTGCTAGAAGAACTTACAATTAATGTTATGAGCAAGTTAAGCATGTTAACAAAGTGGTACAAAGACACAATGGCTGGCTTGCCCTGAGTGAGGAACAGGAAAAATAGACCTCTGGGCCAGAGCTAATGCTTTTTAAATTGTATGTTGTGTAGTGGTAGAGCAGTGTAGGAAGAGCTGGTTTGCTGCTTGCTACTGAGACGGCCTGATGTAGTCCTTTCTCAGGCCATATGGTTGCTGATGACTTTGCCAAACTTTCGCCACTTGTATTGGGATTTTTCCATGGCAAGCATTGGCCTCCAGCTGAACAACCAGAAAATTTCTTAACCTAAACAGTGGATTGATTTTTAAAACAAGACTGGGAAAAAAAAGTAGTGTCTCTTCCTGTGCTTGAAGTTCTTCCAGTTGCCTGGCTGGGTTGTGCTAGTTTGTGCTCCCCTTCTGGACCTTGGGAAGATGCCTGTGCATTGGGAGGAAGGGTTTTTTGTTTAAATTTTCTGCGTTTGGGAAAGTTTGGTCAGTTTTAAAGTTCTGAAAGATTGTCTTCCCAATCAGATGACTGCTACAATCCTCTTGCATTTCCAAACTGGTGACCAAGCTGTATGTGTCTCATCCCCACCACTGTGTTCAGCTGGAGCTGGGGAAAGGATGCAAGAAGGGCAGAGCAATAGAAATGCTAAGATGAGGACTGAGGAACTCTTGAGTTCGAACACAAATTGGTAGTTGATGACAGGGGACTAGGTCTAGCTGAGCAAGGGATCATGAAGAGGGGGAGAACTGAACAGAGAATAAGGGGGAGGTAGAGCTAAAAACCAAAACTAGACGTAGAAGCAAATGATAAACACAGAGAAGTAGTTTGTATACGAAGGTTTGAGATTAAAAAAGGGGATGGGTTGTGGCTCATAACCTTAATCCTCATATTTCTTAATGTCTTAACACTCGGCTTTGCAGCCTGAACAGTCTTTGAATGTGTAAGGAGTGCTGAGAGACCACGCGGAGGCAGCCTTTGCAGATACTTCAGAGTACCCTTCGAGGCACAGATGAGTGCAATGTTTATTAGGAAACTTCTGAGGATTTGAGGGGGTTTATGATTAGAAAAGAAATCAGATAAATGTATCAGAATAGGTTAAGCAATGCTGCGCATTCCAGGGTTAGTTGGATGGAAACACAAATCTAATGATTTGTTAGGTTTTATATGATATAACTGGCTATCAACCGAAGGTTTCTTTGGTCTCTGAAAAATAACAGCCACCTTTTTGCTACCAAGGTAAATTAATTATGTTATGCAGTGTGATGAGCTGACGAGACTGGATAATTGAATAGAAACAGCAGGCACTTCTCATGGCATTCATAGCCTGAGCATTGCTAAATATGATTTTGATTACAGCAGAACATATGAGCTCTGGTTGTAGAACTAGCTCCCCTGTGGCCAGAAAGTACACAAATGCATAAAAATTTTGCTTCTCCAGGGCAAGCAGTGACATTCCTTGTCCTACTCTTACCATATGTGGCAGCAGAGATTTTCAAGGAGAACAAAAAGGAGTCTTATAGTCTTCTGTTGACTACCTGAAAACTATTTTAGAGTAATTCCTGCCTTAAATCCATAACTTCTGGTTGAGGTACACTGTGTGTTTTATCAGTCTTGCTACCAAAGTTTTAAGCAAGTGGCTGACACACCATGTTCCCAGTTAAGTTGTTTCAAACAAAAAAGGTTTTTTGTTTGGTTGGTTTTCTTACATGAATTTGCCATAATTTGAATTCCAACAATTTAATCTGAGTGTCTTTTTTAACATGTGAAGCAACTAACTACTCTCTTTTCCTTGAGGAGGTTTGTGATGAAGGTAGTTCAAACTTCACCTTATCTAAAGTTGTTGTGATTTTAATTTTCAATGAATGTTTTTTTAATTTATTTTTTTCACTCTGTCATAGCATTTTTTTTGAACCATGCAAAAAACAGAATTGGACAAAGCATGTTAAGTGCATCCTGAACTTCATCCAAGGCTAATGCCACCTCTGAATTATTTGTCCAAGTGCTTCAGTTCTTTGAGCACAGTTCCATCCTCAGGGCATATTTGCACAGTGCTGGGTCCTAAGCCCGGGGGTATAAAGACGGATGAAGGCAGAGTGAGAAATGACACCTGGTGAATAGATGTGCCCATTTTATTTTTCAATAGAGCTGATGCTATGGCATTGACAGATAACTCATACAAGGTTGGTATCCATCAGTGGCTCTGTATCTCTTTGAGCCATTCGCTGCTTTGGACATGAAATATCCCTTACTTACATTGCGTATTGCACAGTTACATCAAACTTAGAGTTCACCAGCAAAAGATTCTGCCGTGAACAAGTTAGACAAACCGAGTTCTATTTGTCTTTGATTGGGAGAAAGGGACTCTCATCACAATTCTGAAAAATGTAATGCATATTTATTGAAAGGTTTCTCTTTTTGTTTTATACTTAAAGTATTTCATATTAGAAGTATATACTAAGGAGATCTGTTAAAAAAAAAAAAAAAAAAAAAAGGGTGCATGGAAGAAGCAGAAACTCAGATAAAGAATCTCATCTTACTAGTAACAGTTCTTCTGGCCCTACCAGTTTCAGGAGGAAGATGGGCTCACCACTCAGTGTGTGCTTTAAGTTGAATAATATTTCTTTGACAGGTCTGTTTTTTTTTGACAGAGGCTGTTGGTTATTGAAAATGGAAGAAACAAGGAAGCTCACTCCAAAGCCGTGTAAAAGCAAAGAACCTGTGAAAACAGAATGGGGGTCTCAAAGTGTTGTATTTACGTATTTCCAAGGGGATATTAACAGCATGGTAGATGAACATTTTTCTAGAGCTCTAAGCAATGCCAAGAACCCACAAGACCTAAGCACGAAGCACAAGGGTGAGACTGTTCTCCTGAAGAATGGTGAGCCACTTTCTGTACGTGAGTGTGGTGTTAGACAGGGGTGACTAGCTTTCGCTAAGAAATTTAAGATGCAGCATGCTTGTGTTTGGAATTGTGTACAAGCAGAAAGCAAGTAAATCATACTTGAAAGGCCCTGGACTATGTAGCTGGGACTTCCTGGGTAAATCTCTCTGTTTGGGGTGCTTCCCAAGCTCTCCCTGGGCCTGTTGGCAGGACCAGGTCCTCATTTTCTGGCCAAGAGCCTCCATCACTGTCAGATGCATTAAGTGTATCGTGACTTAATTTGTTGTCTTTGCAAAAATACATTTGTCCGAGTTTCCAACTGTTAAAACCCTGTCTATGCTAAATGTTACATGTGTTTTCTTACAGGCCGTTATTTGAAAGTATTGGTGATGGTGGTTTAGTCTGCTTTTAGTATGAATTTGTTGTTGATTTTTAAGATAAGAAACGCTAAAGTGAATGTATATTTATTTAAAAATGCATATGCAATCTGGTAGCATTCCAATAGAAGTCCATTAGAATTTACCTTGGGGAAAAAAGTAAGAATTGATGAGACTTCAGATGTTTCTTTCTCTTTTTAAGTAGATAGCACGTCTCCCCATCAGTGGAATTTCTCTTCACATTACTCCAAACAATATCCATCGTCATCTGCTACAAGCATGTCAAATTCTGGTCAGAATTTTTCTGCTGCTGGTATGGCAGGCCAATACCAGCCATCAGCTCTGCGGAGTCATCCATCCCAACCTGCAGATTTATGGCCGTTCCCTTCGATTGGGACTCCCAGTCTTACCAGTTCGGTGTATCACCATGCCTTGCCTGACCTGCACGCGGTAGATGAACCGATCTCTGACAGGAAATACGGTTCTCTTCTTGGTCTTCTGCAGCAGGAAAGGTGCCTAACTTCCATGCAAGAATGTACCATGAAGCAACACTCAAGTTCTGCTTGTATGACTGGACCTGCTAGGTTACAAAATATAAGTCAAAGTTCAGCTCCTGGGGGAGGTAAGGAAATACTATCACTGTATTCTTTGATGACGCTTTCTGTAAAAATACAAAATCATACAGCCTGTTCCTAGGTTCTCAAATTGGGGCCATCTTCAACCCAGCTCATAGAAATCTTTTTCAATAGTTAACCCATATGCTGTGTAGTGTGGTACTTGGGATTGATTAGCTATATAGTATGGCTTAATCAAAAATACGCATTGCCCACCTGCACGATATTTTACCTCCTGGCTTACATTAGGGAGATACTTTAAGTGAATATAAACATTATCCACAGTGCTATCAAGATCTCTACCTTATAGGTAGCAGGTAGGGTGATGTGTACTGGATGCTGCCATATTATGACCAGAAAGGGGTGGCCAGGTAAGAGCCCTGAGCAACCCGTCCTACTGCCTAGGGCTTTAGTGATACTCTGAATACATGATGTGAAACAGCAGCCCGTACCAGAAAGGCCAGGGATTTCTCTCCCTCCCCAGTCTCCGTTTGCAGCTGGAAGCACTGGGGTGAAGTGGCCGGTGGGCCAGCCTTGCCTTGTCTCCCAGCCTGTTGCTGCCTGCCGTGAAGCACTGCCGCCCTGCGTGTCGAAGGATGTGATTGCTCCCTGCGGTACTTTGCCCAGAGCTAATGCCCTTCACGCAGAAGCCATGATTGTTGCTTATCTATTATTAACAATTAGTGGGAATCCCAATCCTAGGTACTACCAGCACACAGAAGGAGGATGGCTGGTGACTGAAGCCCATTTCCCAGGAGCTTATGTCCCCACACCATCTAGGTCTGCTGGATAAAATTGCTCCCTTGTGAGTAATTTCTGCTTTTGAGAAGCTCTGTGGGATCAGGCTTCCTGGCCAGATCCCTGGTGCCCTGTTTGGGTACGACTGCATCGCCGTTCCTGGGCGTTACCCAGATAGTCAGCTTGGCACTGGCCTCCAAGAAAACGGGTTGTGAAATTGTTTAGGGAGTCTGCTGGAAAAATACAGCGCGTCCTACCTGGTGCTTCTAGATAAAAAGGACCAGGCATGGGAAGAAGCAATCCTGAGTCTTATGCTTTTAAAAAATAACCAACTGTGAAATATCTACTGGTTACCCAGTTTCTAATCTGCATCATCAGGAATTTGGCAGAACGTGGGCTAAAACTACTGCTTGTATCTGCAGGCAGTCTTATGTACAGTTCCTCTTTGAGGCTACACCGAAGCTATGTAGTTATGAGGACCCCAACTGCAAGTGTTTTGCTGACTTACTCCTGCTAGAGTGTCTCATGCCTGTCTCTGTCCATACATGGAAAAGGGAGAGTGTGTGTGCCTTCAGCTGGAATACAGACTTGCTGCTCAGAAAGTTTGTATCTGTACACAGTTAGATTGGTTTAGCTGAGACTGTACGTATGTGTTGCACAGGCACACACCCTAGACTTTTTGCAGCTAGTAAATGACAGTCTAATTACTTGAATGATGCTGTCTGGACTTCTAGGATTTAATTTAAGAATAAGATTAGGTGCCCTCTTCCCCCAAGGGGGCAATGTGAGCCTATCAAGGCTTGGGAGTCCGAGGAACTGACTCCTCCAAAAAAGGAGATGTTTCACAAAACTAGCCTTGGGATCAAAAAAAGGAAGCAGTGCTAACAACAGTGGACTTTTTTTTTTTTTCAAAATTTCAGAAAGAAAGTGGGTGGGGAAAATTAAATTAGAAAGGAAATTAAACAGCTCAGTGCTCCCCAACCATTACCTGTTAAAGCCTTTTCTTTCAGGAAGTTTATGTGGCCTCTCTGAATATTTGGGGAGCCTCGTAACACCACATGTATAATGCCATATATGTGCTTATCAAGCAACCCAAAAAGAACAGATAAGAAATGGCTGGCCCATGTTCACAGAGAGTCTTTGGCAAGTCCCTAGGATGTGTGCATCTAGTCTGGCTGTGGGAGTCCCTGTTTCTTGGCTCTATCTGTTAAATATACTTCTCGTTGTGCTGTGTCATGTTTAAGAACAGCTGATATTTATATTTATGGAAGTATATATTGCTGTGCCAGACAGCACAGACCTCCCCAGCACCTGTGCTATAGGCTGGGCTGCAAAAGCACAAGGTTTCTTTAGGAACTACTGTCTACTTTTAGCTCTGTGTTGAATCTCTGCTCATCTCCAGTATTTTTTTTTTTTTTAAGAGAGGAAAGCAAGCTCTTACCAAGGCTCAGAAAATCCCAGTGTAAGCCATGCCACTGCAGGTGAGTAATCAAATGGCAGGTTTGGAACAAATCAGTTCTCACCTATGAAGCACAGCTGCCTCACTTATGCATGCAGAATTAAAGATGCTTCCTTGCTTGCTTCCAGACTGTATTTCAAAAGTTGATTTTTCCCCCAGATAGACATGCCACCTCCTGTAACTACATTAACAGAGAAGAAGGAAAACATTCTATTAAAATGAGATGTTATTTTCTAACGCCATCTACCTTAGTTTTTGTGGTTATACCATCAGCCTGTCACTTCACAACTCCTGTTTTGCACTGGCTGTCCAGGTTTCAGATCCCAGAAGGATAGGACACCCCTTGCTTTGTATCTCAAGCACCTGACTTCAGGCTGAGGTCCCTGTTGGACCTGTGTGCTAGCATTGCTGCAGTTTTCACCAACAAACCCACTGCCCTGCTAGGAGAGTTGCTCTAAGAAATTATTCCCAAAGTATTCAGGCTTCCGTGTTTTCATTAGTCTCTTGAGACTGTGTCATGCCCTGATGCTGGTTCTTTGATGTGCAATATTTTGGGGATACTTTGGATGGGTCATTCTGGTTATTCTAGTAAGGGCCCTCTTGCATCAGACCCACAGGTGCAATTTTGTTTGCACAACATCTTAGGTCTCATGGACTATGCTGTTTGACTGTCCTGATACTGCTGTGTCTTTCAGGTATTCAGATTCAAGACAGAAGACAAGATTTGTACTTTTAGCAACTGGATGTCTCTACTTTATTCTGAAAAAGAAAGTTATTGCAGTGAACTTTTATTATTTGCAACTGTGAATCGAGAAGAAATGAACTGCAGCTGTTCTGTGCTTTTTCTCTCACTTGGAAGAATACACGTGCTATTTACTATTTGGGGAATGAAAAATAATCTTTTTCTGTTCAGTAAATAATTTCTAATAGCTATGGTATTAAACCTGACAGTATGTTTGTCGTGAAGAAATATTGTCTACTTAAGGCTTTTCACGTAGCTCTCTTGAAAGGACTCCTAGCACATTTTAATCTTGCTGTGCTTATTCATTTACCATCTCTTGGTAAGAAACACAGTTCGTATCAGTGCAGTTGATAAGTGCAGGGATGCAGTTAGCGTAAATTCAATGCTGCAGATTCTTAGCTTGATTTGATATCTCCATATTGTTTAAAATAGTCTTAGACCACAGAAAAGAGACTTCAAGACAACCACAGATCAGCAAATCATGTTATATTTGTATTTTGGAATTACAGTAATTTGTAACCATACTTGCAATTCACATAGACTGTCTTCAGAAGCTATATAATATGCATATGCCCAAAGGCTCTGTTTTGCCTCGTCATGTATAATCACCCTCCAGAGAACAGTGAATTAACACTAGATCTGGGAGGAAATCTGGATCCTCATTGGATGCAATTAAAATACCATTGAGCAAAAAGCTGAAGGTGGAAATGGTCTATTTTCCCAGTCTCTCTGCAGGTGTTAAAGGTCCCTTTTCTAAATAAACCTTGTGGTGTTGAATTTTAAATTATTGAGCTTGAGGGGCTTGCCCACCTCAACAAGCAAAACCCCAGACCTCAGAGCAGCGGAACGGGGGGCGGTCTCAGTGCTCCCCCATGCAGCAGAAGTGGCAGCCATGAACTGTGCACCGACCCTGCGTGTTCAGATCCCCCTCCTCGCTTCACCCCGTGCCCTTGGCAGGTGTGTTTGCTGAAGCTACTCTGAGTAAAACCTCATGGGGCTGGTCTTCAGGTTTGTGTATGTAATCCCTGCAGTAAGAGAAACTGCTTAGCCTTTATTTTAAATCCTAAGGATAAAAAAAACAACTTGGGTTTATTATTTCCTTTTTCATTAGCTATACATTAATTTAATACAAAGATGCACAATTAACTTTTTCCTACGGCTCTGCGCAGTTGCTTGAGAAAATTTGACCTGTGAGATCCTAGAGCTGTGATTTACAGGACAAATCCTTAGCCTCTGTAAGTGTGTGTGGCTCTGTCTACACCAGATGTTTCTGCTGCCACTGGTCTACTTCAGTTATAACACCTTGTGTAATCTGATAAATAATTTGAATTCAGCAATTTTAGATGCTTATGGTACTGATTTAAAAAGAAAAAATTAGAAAATCCCAGTTTGAATCATACAAATTTGCTCTAGCATATACATGAGCTAGAACCAACCAGACATCACATACAAGGGGAAATACTTTAACTAAATTAAGATAGACCAACATCCTGTGTCCCTATAGATGAGCACTGAAAAATCACTCATTTTGAATATTCCTATGTAATTGCCTTTCTTCTCTTTTAAGTTTAGGAATACCTCTCCAAGTAGTTTTCTGTTGTCATTCCAGATCACTTGTTTCCCTGATTTTTAAGGCTACATAGTAATATAATCTGACTTCCTCTATGGGCCAAAGCAGATTTCCAAGCTGTACTCTGTATGTCTGTTTTACTAGTGTGTGTTGTAATTCCAGTGAAGTTATTGCTTCAGAATTGTGAAACAGTAATTTTGTCTCCTGCTGCCATCCCTCCTAAAGGAAAATGCTTTAATGTCTCTCTAAGCTCTGAAAAGACATATAACAGTATATTTAAATGGTCTTAAGATGTGATGCTGCTTGGAGCAGTTTGGTCCTGTGCATGTCACAGCTGGGAAGAGTCAGGGTGACTTATTCCCTTGTTTCTGGTGAATCAACTGAGTGGGGTTGTACGGGGAGGGGGGGAACTTTTTTTTTTTTTTTTTTAAATGCATGTCACTTGCTGCCAGGACACAAGGCATCCGTGATTCTGCCTTGACACAGAAATGCTTTGAGCCCTTGCTGCAAGGTTTGGCAAGGCCGTTGCCCTCGCTACCCGGCTGGGTGACAGACCTGGGGACGGGTGCGAGTGCCTGGGCAGCCGCGGGGCCGGTGCCTTATCCCGGAGCCCTGGGGCCGGGCTCTGCTCTGGGCACACCAGCCCTTGCCCCTTTCCCTGGCTGTTAGAAAAATAATGACCTTGGGGTAGAGGGCTGGGGGTCAGAGCCTCTGCTGCTCCGGCGCTCGGGCTCGCACCGCTGCAGCGGTGTGCAGCAGAGCCTGCCGGGGTTTGTCGGCATCTTTTCACCTGCAATAAACATAGTTCAACCATCAGTGCAACTTGCCCCTAATGATTTTGCACGAATAGAGGTCTGAACGTTTCACAGCAGTTCCCAGCGTTGGGTAGGCTTTTGTATATAATATATATATATATATGCACATATATTCCTCTACACCATTGCTTGCCCGGATTGGAGTTTCCTGCTTTCCCCTCGCTGCCATCGTGCTCCCGTGGCAGAGTCTTCCTTCCCGTTCAGTCCGTGCGCTCTCCTGCCTTCAGCAGCTGCCCTCTGGTACTTCCCACGGTTATTTTTGGTTCCTCCTCTGAACGCAGCAATCACGGTGCTGACGGGAGGAGCAAGGACGCGGGACGTGCCCGTTTCAACAGGTGCCGCCTCCTCGCACCTCGGCAGAGGCTGCTCCCAAGGACAGAAGGACAAGCATGGGCCAGGTGTTACACTTCTGGTAATTTACTGACCCTGTGGGAAACCACTATTTGCCTTCATTTGGGTACCATTTCTAAAGCTTTAGTCCAGGAATAACTTCTTTGCACAGATGGTTTTTCTCCTATCTTTTTTTCTGATGGGCAGATGAGATGTAAATTACATGCTTTGAGAGCCCTGTTCAGAGATTAATGCAGAGAAAAATACTCACGTTTGACATGTCTACCCTGTGAGGAGTCTGGGGCTTTTTTTAATAAGCTGCAGGAACTATTGTACATCGTTTTCACCATGCATGTCCCAGGGCATGGATGTTTTCTTCTGCGTGTCTCGCGGGGGATGGCCCTGGTCCAGCTCCTCCTCAGATGGTCAAATAAACCTCGCGGGTGGCTGGGAGCAATGTAGCTGGCTTCGCTACTCCACCCCATTTTAGTCACTCGTTAGTCGTGTTAAAAATAGTCGTGGACTGCGATGACAAACAAGATGGTCATAGCTGGTGGCCCTCACCCTGGTGCGGATACCCGTCACCCCTTTTGGAGAAGACACCCCAAGCTGTTGCTTTCCTTTTTGTTCAGGTGCAGATTAATCTGCCCCGTCGCAGGTGAGAAAGGGACACCTCATGTATCCACGTGACGTGTAGCCTTTGGTAAATACTTGCTCATGACTGGAATTGTGGAGCATCTGGCGGTTTTTAAGCCTCTTTTCCGGCAGGCTCTGCCACGCAGGACAGCCCAGCTCCTGGTGAGGGGCTCAGAGTCACACTGCAAGGCTGTGATCTGGCCAGAGCGTGTCAGCACTGGTGAACTTGTAGCTGAACTAAAGGTGCTATCTGTGCCCTGCACAATGCTGCGAAGGTCAGGAAATAGGAGTGATGTTTGCAAGTGTCCAAAATCTTTTTTTTTTTTATTTTTTAATTTTTTTTATTTTTTAAGAAAAATAATCCCCAAAATGGCTCACACAGGAAAGTTCTCAAGGCATTGAAGAAAGCAAACAGTTTTGGGTAAGACACCAATGAATTCATGTCATCCTTCTCCTCAGCACAGGTAGGAAGGAGCTTGCCATCTGACTGGAGAGGCTTTCACCTTCACTCGCGAATGTGACGGCTCCTCGCTCCTGGGTCGGGGAACTCCCCACTCCCCCCTGGAAAATAGCAGCCAAACCCTTCCTATTCCTTTCTGAAGGGCTCGTGCTGCTTGTTTCATTTCCAAGCAGCCTGGAGAGCCTCACAGACAGCCAGCCCCAGCTGCAAGGAGGAGGGGTGCCCGAGCCAAAACCTGCCTGCCCCTGCTCGGAGAGCACCGTGCTCTGCCAGCCTTGTCCAAAGCTGGTGTCAATAAAAATGTCCCTTACTGTGTTTTTGTGTGTGTGCATATTTTGTTTGTTTTTTTTTTTTTTTTTTTCCCTTGGGCAGATTTATGACTAAGTGACCATATGGCCTTCGTGTACATGAAGGAAAACCTGAAATAACCAGAACAAGTGATTTCCTGGGAAGGCTAAAAAGTGTTGCACCACTTCATTCTTCAATCTGTTTTCCTCTACTCTTTGGTTTAAAACACTGCATGTTTTGGGCTCAGGGCTCTAATCCACGTAGCTGCTGATGCACAGAGATGTTGGTACTCCCCTCTGAGTTATCATATATTGTTACACTTGGAGGATTTCAACAGAAAACTGGTGCAAAGCGGTGGTTTCGCTGCCTCGGTTGCTAGGAGGAGGGTGCTCTCCTCGTTTCAGTATCACACACCATGTCAGAGGGCTGCGTGTTACCACACTGCACAAACAACTCGGCTGTGGTCACATCATACTGATCACAATTTCTTTGCTGGGGGGGTGCAAAGGTGACCGAGGGGTGGGAAGTCAGCGGCTGGGCTGCAGCCTGGGGCCATGGGGCTCTCCAGCCCCACTCAGAAGATGCTTTCAGGAGCCATAAGTGAGCTGGTTGACCCAAACTGGCTGTGAGCCAGCTCCAGGGTGTGTTCCCCAAGACACGGTCCAGCAAGAGGCCCCCGGGTCTCCTCTGAGCCACCATGAACCCTGCTGAGCCCGTCAGCACCCACGCTGCTGACTGACACTGTCCCATCCCACCCCCCACCCCGCTCCGATTTCTTGGTGGGAGTTAAGCTGGGCTCAGCGCATCCCATGAGCGAGACTGGCCCCTCAAAGCCCTTGCACGCCAGAAAGCTGGCTGCTTCCCCAACCTTCATCCTCTGTGCCCCCATCTCCCCCCGTCAATGGCCCCTGGGCTTTGCAGGGTCTGGCTTTGAGGCTGCACAGAGCAATTTGTGTCTTCCTCATCCTTCTTTCTCCCCCTGGCAAATGCTAGGTACAGCACAGGGTTATATAAATATTGCCAAGCAGTATTTCACACTGAAATACAACAGTATTTCATCTGCTTACTACCTTTCCACCTGAGATAGGAACAAAGTAACGGCTTTCTCCTGTGATTAAAACAAAAAGTTTCTGTGCTCAGCATTATGACCCACTCACATTAACTCCCAATACAGTACATTTACCAAAGAGAAGTGTCACTTTAGGTAAATCCCTCTGCCAAATTAAGAAACAAATTGAGCGGATGGAAGGAAACGGAATGTACCAAACACGCAAAGGGCATCTCTGGTAACTGAGCACAGCCTAAAATAATCCTGTGCTGGCTGCCTGTCACACGCTGTCTCCCCGTGCCTGGACGGCTGTGAGTGACTCCACCGGCATCGGAGAAGCATCCCCATGCGCACGGGCTGCCTCTGTTCCCCCGTGTTTGTAGGCTCAGAGATGACCCAAGTCTTGCAGACGCCACTGAATGATGTGGTCAAGGGACAATCCTTTGATTTGGCCTTGCAGAAGATCAACCTTTAATTGGCCTTTAAAGGTTAGTTCCCATGGAAGCCTTGAAAGTCTGTTTGTCTCAAAGCTTGGTGGACCCCATCC